TGTTGTGCAGATCTGCTTCAGGTTTTTGGGCGAACCTGCTGGTTTTAAAATGCTGCTCTCCTTCCAGCTGCTCTGCACTGGCTGAGCTGAGCACTGCCGACATGCAACTGTGGGGAGAAGTGAGCTGGAGGCAATGGCAGGTCAATTTGAGGAAGGAAGGAGGGAGAATATGCACAGCCCTCCTGCGCAGCCGGGAAAGAATTGTGTGATACGGTACTTCTGCTTATGTTTGTCCTCTGGGATGGTAAGGTATCTCCTTGTGATAAAGATCTTATTCAAGGCACTTGGAAGTCAGTGGGATTGTTTGATGGACTCGGTGTAATGGCATGTTGGAAGGGCTGGCACGGGAGCCTCTGATCTTGCTTTTGTGCAGGGAGTCAGACGGGGTAGCTCAGATCAGGTGGTCTGGAGGGTGACGACATCTAAGGGGCTGCCTGTTCTTCTCTGGCTCCTGGGGAACACACAGGATGACAGCAGTATGAATGTATCCTAACACGCTGCCCTACAGCCTGTACGGAGGAGGCTAAAAGAGAGGTTGGTCCCCACCATGAAGAAAGAATTGCACTGTCTTTTTCCTTGTCCTCTCTCTAGAGGAAAGCAACAGAAGATATCTCAGTGGTTTTCCAGGGAACATAGCTCTTAGGATCGCTATGGAAATGCCTGTTTGAAGCAGTTGTAAAATGGTATAGCATACTTCTAAAGTTTCACAGTGACCAGAAATTATGCTGTTTATTCTTGAGTGCCATCTACTGACAATTTCTTTCTTAATGATTTACTTTCATTGACATTGCTTATTTTAAATGCCCTATGTAACATCTGTTAGCTTAGATGGAGGGGCCTGAAAGTTTGAAGCTGAAGGATTAGGAGTTAGTATTTTATTGTGACAGCTGGCAGTTTGTAATGTTGCTTATTCCTTGAGCACCACATTCCCCACTGCAGACCAGGGTACTCTGCACAAGATGTTTTCAGCTCTCTCTTCAACCCATCATCAGGCTTCCTCCCATCTGCCCTTCCTTCCCTGCCTGCTCCTTCTGCCTAGAGGGCAATTTCTGGCTTCTCTAAGGTCACTCTTCTGACTTCAAAGAGTAGCTGTAGTTGTGCTTCCTCCTTATGCAGGAGGTTGCATCCATCAGTTTGTTACACTATTGCCAGGATCTTATTTCCCCCTTTCCTTTCTATTCTTCCTCTTCTTTCAAGAGCTTTTTCAGCAACTTTTGTGCAGTAACCTTGAAAATATTTAACGATCACTGACTCCACTATATTACCTGTTCTAGAGGTATTTTATTTTAGTTATATGATACTTGAATTAGCATTATTATTACAGTTTTTCATTTTCTACCTGTAAGATTTCCTCCCCTACCAGCGCAATACATTTTGCAAGATAAAAATAAATTAAAGGTGAAGAGTTATTGCCAAGGACATGAGCTTGTGAAGTTTAGCCTACAAGATATTTTTCTCCATTGAAAACATAATCTTTATAGATAAAGAAAATGCCAGATACCTAACTCATTAGAAGCAACTGAGAAAATGAGACAAGAGGCTTCCTTATACACTTAGGTTTTGGCTTGTTTTCGCCTCTGCCAGCTAACCAAAGAGCAAAATAGCAGTAAAGTTACCTAGTGCACAGCACCAATTTGATTGAGGCTTCTTTGACCATACCTTAGATAGGACAGTGCGATGGCCTGTAACACCCAGGCACTCTGCTGCCACTCAGTTTCAGGCAGAAAACATCAAGCAGTAGAAATGTAGACATTTGTATGATGCCACTATAGAAGATGTATTTTTGTCTGCAACATACTTGTATTGTGGAACTCCTTCCCAGAGGATTTTGCTGAGGTCAAAAGTGTAAGTAGGTTTGAAAAGGATTAGACAGATTCATGGTGGGCAGGTGTGATGTTTGCTGTTAAGCATGACAGCCCAGATCTAACATCTGCTACAGAAAGCCACTGTAGAGCTGATGGCTGGAAGGCTGCAACAGGGAAACTGCTGTTCTGTGCTGGCCCTGGCTGGCGCTGCCAGTCCCTGCCAGGGGCAGTGGCTACAGTGACCGGGGCGGATTCAAAACAGCGGTCTTCAGTCTGGAGAAAGCCTTTGAATTCCCGTGGAAGTGGTACTTTGTCTCAAATGTTTATTCTCCACTAAGAGCTCATGGATCCCCAAATGTCCAGTGCTAAAACTGGGACTGCCCCCCTGAACTCAGTGACACAGAAAGCACGGGGTTAGGCTTTGCTGGGGTTGTTTCAGTAGAGACAGTTTCGCTGAAGTGAGGACTGAGGAGTATTTCAGTATCATCTGTTCCTGGACTTCTAAGTCCATATTCTGCCTTTCATATAAAAACAGATCCAAACTAATGTTTGATTGACTTAGAACCTACTGAGCAATAACATATTATGTGTCACTTGCATCCCATTTATTTTAATGATTAACAGCCTCCTGTGCTGCAATTCATAACTCAGTCTTTTTCCGCCTTTCTTGAATCAGGCAGCAAAAACTGATCAGTGACAAAGATGATGCTGGTGAAATTGCTGCACAGGGGTTCCTCTTACTGAAGGGCTGACAAGATACCAGCTGAGGAGAAAGCTTAATTGCATGGGTGATCAAAGGAGAATATGTGAAGACAGGGAGACTGTAAGGGGGTGTGCGTAGGAGTGTGTTTTAGCAAGAGATTATAGGGGAACACGTGAGTCTGGCACACACGAAATGACAGAAATGAATGCATGAGCTAGTACAAAATAGCGTGCTAACCAAAGGCATCCCCTTCTCAGCTCTTGCCTAAAAGAACTGTATTCTGTAAGCTGTCATCCTCCAAACTATATGAAAAGAAAAAAGGGAAGGTTTGCTCTTTGCAAGTGGGAGAGGAGGAGGAGGGGGGAATCTCATGAGACCACAACATCCAGAGAGATCAAAGCAATGAGCTGGAATGGGAAGAAAAGGTACAGGACATGGACACAGTGTACTCCCGGGAATGGTGGGATTGAACAAAAAAACCTGAAAACAGAAAAAGCATTGAAGGCACATGCCAACCCTTCCACGTGCTGTAAAATACTATACTGTCAGAGTTTTGGTTCAAGATTTGTATCGTGCTTTGTTGTATTGTTTACTGTCTTCCTTTATACTCAGCTCTACGTACATCACTGGGAGTATTTGAGGAGTAAGGTACCTCTAAATATGAAAACAGGTGTTGTTAAAATGGCTTAGACTTGTACCATTTTAGCCCAAATCCATTAAAAACCTCATTACAGTTAAATTGGCATAAACCTCTGTGCCAGTGATCTTCATCTGTTCTAAGCTGCATCGATATAAATCCAGTTTCAATTGATTAAGAGAGTTTAGGCAAAAATGTACTGCATTTCACAAACTGATGGGAGGACATACTCTTATTGAAATACTAAGACTTATGCACTTAGTCTTTTCATATTCAGCTGTGGGGTTTTTGAACTTTTGCCATTTTGTATTTTACAAGCCCTTACAGGGAACGGAAACAAATAGTTTTGGAACAGTCAGGTCAACAGCCTTTTGTTTCATCGAACCTTTGTGCAACCACAGAAGCCTTCAGCTTTAGTGTTTTATAAAATTCTAAGGACAGAGGAGAAGCATAGTATTTCTTCTACTTACCCTACTCTGAACTCAGTATTAGTGTCTGACTAAAGCTTTTTTTTGCAAAAGGCATCTACCCTTTTTTGTAAAAATAAAGAAAGCCATCATCTAAGATTCTTACTCAAACAGTAAGCCATCCTGCCTCTTGGAACCAAGTACCTCATTCCTAATTTGAGTTTCTCTGGCCTTCACTTTCAACTCTCAATTCTTGTTGCATCTTTTTTCTACTCAACTAAATACCTTTGCGGTTCTAAGAAGTCCAGTCCAATAGGCCTTGGATAGACTTGCACATCTCAAATGTGGGTGACACTCAAGGTTACCAGTCCTCATCACAAGTAGCACTTTACTTCCCACAGGCAGGAATGAGAGAAACATTTCTCAGTCTAAGAGCAAGGATGGCACAATTAGGATCTCTACAAACACAGATACAGCAGTGTATACACTATGCACACATATACACTATACACAGTATACACACTATATACACTATAGACACATATACACTATACACACTACACACACATATACATCCTGTAGGTTTCAGGTACATTTGGCCCCACTCCTCAAAATCTTTACCAGCAATTCGGTGGATAATGGTAAATAATATCAAATTTTGCACTTGGCTACTTTCATTGCCCTTTCTCTCACCTTTCCAACCACCTCCCTCTAGTAAGGGCTGGAGGCATGTGGCTGGGAGGAGGCAGAAAGGAAGCATCCAGCAAAACTGCTCTGTTCTCTGGCAGGAAAAAAAAAGAGGGATTTTCGAGTATGATCGCTCTCATCTCTTCTCATGTACAAGGTCTATATCTGCAGTCTGTATGTGCAAAAATTACCCTCTTCCCCACTATTTTCTCCCCCCATCATGGACATGAAAAACAACAACAACAACAACAAAAAAAGCAGTACTGGAAGAAAGGAAAGTTGCCCTGACCGTTAAGGAAGGCTGAGTCAGTTGAGAAGTCTGTCAGATTGCCTGCCTGATCCCAGATAAGTCATTTAATCACTTTGCGCTTGAGTTCCCCACTACAGTAGTTATTTGGTCTACATGGTCTGCTTATGGCCAGCTTGAAGCAGTCTAATGTTATCGAAGCTTATCTAATGTAACACTGTGAGGGCAAATGCAACTGTGGTCTCGAATAGACACTGTGTAATTTTAAAAAGAGGATAGGAAAGTATTGCCCCTCATGGACTGGCAGTGATAAATTATGCAGTCCTCTCCTTCAGCCTCTCACATCTGCGATAGCTACTGTAGAACCTTAGTCCAAACATTGCTCGTATTTAGCACTGGAGCTGTCAAGCCAGTCTCAGCTTTCATGCAAGATTTCATGAAAAATAAATTCAACAATTTCTCCAAGCTGAAAGGCCTCTAACCATGCCTCCAGCCTGCTAGCCATAGTACTTACATGCTTTGTGAAATTTGTGTTTCACATCAAGAAGGGTAGATGATGGAGGAACCTGGAAAAGAAAACAAAATGCATGCAGATTAATTTTTCTGTCTTCTTCACTCTGGGATCCCTTCTCCCCTCCTCTAATGAAGAGATAATTCAATTTGTCTGCAAGTTCCTTAGGCAATAATGAAGCAAATCAGCAAATTTGATCTCACATGTTGATATGTTATCAAGGATTGTCCACATTTGATTTACACATTACCTGGGCCACCTCTGCTTGGCCAATGGAGGGTTAAAATCCCAAAGGTCAAGAGGGAAAGCTGCTGGCCCTGCTTGAGGCAATAAAATGCCCCCAAGATCAACCCAGTGGGGCAATTTGAAGGGTTAGCTATAAAGTAGGTTCAAGCATGCTGAGGCCTGGCTCTAAGAGACATGCAGGGGTTTTCCTGAGGGGCTGGTAGCAAAGGCGGCAGGTTCTGTCCTTTTTTGCCTGAAGTGAGTCTGCTTCTGCACGCTGTTGTTCGTGTGCACTGAAGCAATTCAAGTGTCACAGTGTTAAATGGCAGTCTGGAGGCCTTTTAGGCTCTATTTTATTATGCATATTGATTTCTTAATTCACTTTGCACAAAGTATCTGAGAAACACAGAATTTACTAGGGCGAAAGACTTTTAGAAGTCTCTTGCATTTACAAGGAAAGGCAATGGAACTCTTCAGGAAGTAGTATGTTGAGCTTGAGGTTGAGGTGGCAAAAGGCAAGAGTCTGGTCTTAACAAGCCCATCCCTTTGCAGTTGATACTGATTTAATATTCTGTATTGTTCATTTAAGCACAGAGACTGAGAAGTAAATTGAACTGTGTCTTAACCATGGGGATCTGCTTTGGCTCTAGCAAGAGCCCTTATTGCTGCAGTCGGACAGTGGAATGCAGAAAACCACCTTTTCTGGAGGCTTTAGGCACCACCCGCACAGCATAGGCTAATACCAGGATGAAGTGGTGGTGAGATATAGCAAAATCTTGAGGAGGTGCAGAATTTCTTTGGGCTGAGGTAGAGAAACAGCCATGGCACCATTTTTCCTGGCTGGGCACTCATCACCTGGTTCACTCCATCTCCAGCTTCCCTCAATCTAACCAGAACGTGGCGGTTTTCTGATGTAGCCTCCTTGGCAGTTACACAGGAACCCAACAGTTCTGCTCTGCAGAAGCTTGTCTGTCTCTTCCCACTTAAAGATTTCTATGGGGTTTGTTGGGCAATCCAATTTCCTCTTTCATTGCATTAGTTAGAACTCATATACTTAAGCATTAATCAGCTTACTGAGCCTTGTTTCGATCTTGGCACCATCTTTAGCCTGTAGCCCCACTTCTTTCAAATGTGATTAGTGATATCTATCTATCTATCTATCCATCTATCTATCTATTTTACTTATTAGTGATGTTAGTGAATTGTGACAATAACCATGCATGAAAAATAGAGAAGAGCATAAGAAGTTCTGCTAGTAGAGATCAGTCAGCACCTTAACATAGGTCATTTTGCTCAAAAGATTGAGTCTGGAGAAACACTCATGTAAGAAAACAAAATTGCTGACTCAAACGCAACAAATCAGTACAAAAAGAAAATTTTTGCTCTTATATAATTTGACACTCCACACAAATATACAATATACATGCCATTAATGCTTAGGAGTAAGCTGACTTGTTTCCAGTAATAATATGAACAGGCAGAGAGCTCAATACAGGTTTCAATGATCTAAAGCTGTAAAATGATACTTGTGCTAAATGGTATGTAAAGTTCAGATTTTTTCCTAGCTTTTTCTTTGGGTTTAGATGATAATGCTTTCTTTTCCACATATACAGAGGGTTTTACTAGGCACTGGAAAAGTCCTTATATGCAGAAACTGCTCTAAGTGAACCCCTACTTAAACCCTGACTTGTCTCTCTGATGCACCTGTTAAGCGATGCCAACTCCACCCAAATCAGGGGCTGGACTCCTTGAAACCAAGGCTGTACCCTTTCCCCCTCGCTGACATCACCAAGGTCTGTGTTGCACCCAAACCATGTTGAACAGCACTGGGCCAGGAAACGGACATTGCCCTTGGAGTTCCTGAAGCCAGCTGGCTCCCTTCTCTTCCCAGCTACAGGGAACAATAGAAGAAGCCATCTTACCTTTCTCAATTCGAAAAGGAAAGAAAACATTTTATCTGCATTCATTGCACTTAAGTCATTCCATGCAACAACAGAGCAGCACATGTCCCCTAGTCTACATGTGCCTTTTCTTGCAATGTGTACAGCCGCTGTGGACTTGAATACAGGAGATAGGGGGGAGGGGGGGTGTATGTTTTCAAAACCTCTAAAAATATCTGAAATTGCTTTCTCACACCTTGTAATCTCACACCTGTGAGGTCTGGAGCCCAGAATCTGTCAGGTATGGATGCAAGTGCTGTTAGCTGGCAACGACCACACAGCGCACAAGACTGCAGACCAAAATCTGTCAAGTGTCCTAGCGCAGGGCAGGTGTGCAGGTTTCAGAGCTGGCATTGCCAGCTCAAGGATGGGTATGGACTTATCCGATGTGATGGAGGATCATCTGGCTTTCTAAAGAGAGTATAAGCCACATTACTGCAGAGCCTGCATCCCTGCAGGAGATCAGCACCTCACCATGCCAAGTTCCAGAAAAGAGTAGCCAGGGCCAACCCATGCTCTGGAGAGCTGATCATCTGATTAACTCAGGGGAAGCTGAAAGACTGTTAAGCTGAGCACACTCACAGAGCAGCGTTAGCGCAAAACAGAGCCCAGGGTCTCCATCTCCTGCATGTATGTGACAATTCAGGGCAGCGCTGCTTTCAATCAGTGCAACATTTCTAGTCCAGCCCTTCCTAGCAACTCTACCTTTACATGTCTCTCCCATTTTTCAACTAAAGCTTTCAGTGCTTTCTCCCCTCTAAATCCTGCTATGCCAGCCATGGGATTCATATCACCTAACTTTAGCTATCAAAAAATTAGTCTAAGCTTGTGGTATAGATCGACCTATAGAACCACTCACGTGCGTTAGGTGTTGAAAAGTTACAAAGCACCTGCCAGGATCTGTGCTTACAATGGCCTGGCTGCAGCTGAGGAACCAGTGAGCGCATCCACGTGGTGTGACGTGAACCATCACACACCACCTCCCCTACATCCACAGCTGGTGCTTGAACCGCGTAGCTGCAGCTGGCGGGGACTGTGCTCTGTACCACACCTACGAGAGAGGCTCGTTAGCAAGAGCACTGCTGTGCCTGAGTACATCCAAGCTGCTTTAGGCTGGCTTAAATCCTGCCAGCTCGGGCGCAGGCAGAGCATGTACTTGGTTGGTCAGTCGCAGCCTGGCAGCTCTGCGTGGCACCACGCTGCACGGGCTGCCTGTGCCCAGGGAAGGCCTGGAGCACACATCAGCCGGGAGGGCAGGAAGACATTTGTTTTATGGTCCAGCTGGCTTAGAGAAGGACCCTTCCACTTGAGACAAACTACACAGATCGTAAGTTGAAAAATAACACAACTACTTTCCTCTTCAGAATTGGCTATGACATAGAGGAATCACAGTGTCCTTTCCCAGGCAGAATAATGAGGCTATAGCCACAAAAGAATGAAATACATTTTTTTATGATCTTGATAATTCCATGTCCTTTTTCTTAAAGACCTCATAAAACAACCAGTGAAGTTATAGATTCTAATATTGATCAATGTGAAGATGGATGCTGAGACATCAGCTTACTACTAAGAGTGTCTTCTTCGTAGACCATTAATTATCTTTTGTTCTTTTCATTGTACATCAATGCGAGCTAAAGAATTGTAAGGACTGGAACAGCATCTGCTCTTATTACCCTTTGTGTTAACTGAATAAAACACCCTGGAACATTTCACTGTAATTATTAGTCTTGCTCTCCTTTTATTCTTTTAAATTATTTCTGAAAGTGTTATAACTTTCCTTTTCCTCTATTTCAGCACTTTTCAAATATGCAAAGGGAAAACAGAGTGAAAGACCACCCTTGATTTATTTAAAACAAGATTAATTTCATTGTAAAAACACCTCTTACTTGGCACATATTTCTACATCTGATGGTCAAGCCAGTTTTCCCTCCAACTTCTTAACTTGTAGTCTAACACCAGATTTTATAGTCAACTTTCTAGTAAGCTGCTATTGTGTAATGTTCAAGACTACTTTTTCTTCCAAAAAATGTTATGAAGAAATGCAGATTTTACAGGCTTGGGTTGCATTCATTACACTTTTCATTCAGAAAAGGATGAGTTAAAAAACCTTGAATCCTGTTTTTTCTGTACCTTCATAGCAAAAATACTTTTACTTTTCCATTCGAGGCAACTTTTCATTTTTTAAGAATTCAAGAATGAAAGGACCTTCTGGGTCATCCATTCCTGTTCTATCCTTCTTTATGCATCAATGCACAAAGCATCACATTTCTTTTTAAGATTTAAAATACCATATTAGTAACTTAGGCTATGACTCATGGAAGAGCACTAAGTGGAAGATATTATGGGAACTTAATACTGCCTTTTGTGAGTACAAGCTAATCAGATAGTTACCCACTTTCATACCTCTTTCACATTTATAAGTCAAGGAATTATAACAAATCTGGTGATCTGTATGTAATTGCATCACACAGTTCGTTCACTAAAGAATGATTTTAGGGGTTAGAGGTTAGCAGAATATCAATAAGAATATGAATAATAGAATTTTGGCAAATAAGTGATCTTTCATTTAACATTTCCCTTTGAATGTTTTTTCTCTTTGTGACATGTCAGTACCACTGCACTGCTGAGTCACCTACTTTCCAACAGACAGTCATTTTCCACAATTGCAGAAATTCAGAAATTCTGCCACTCCAGCTGCTCTTTAACCACACACGGCCCCATCTTCAGACAGGGTAAATTTGTTAAAAAGGGTGGCATCAGCTTATTGCAGCTGAGGATCTGACCCCAAACCAGATAACCTGCTAACCTGGGAAAGCCAGGTAATTTCCAAATTCAGCACTCAACAGATACTTCATCATTACTGCTTTTGCACCCTGTCCTTGCTTTGGGA